GTGTAACAGCAGTACAAAACGCATATTGTCACGGGGTTGTCTGTGTGTGTTTGTGTGTGTATGTGTCCGCAGCAACTTGTCCGCAACTTTCAACTCGAGAACCACAAAAGCTAGGAAACTGAAAATTTAGGGGAACGTTCCCCACGCACGTGTGACCCCGCAAATTTAAATTCAGCTTCCCCTTACCCGCGAGTAACGTATACGGCCCCGTGAAAGTTTTTTACGGGTAAGTTAATATCTCGGGGACCACGGGATCTAGGAGGCTGAAATTTTAGGATAATGACCCCCTGCCAACGCGCAACCTTGCCCATTCAAACTCAGCCTTTCCTTACCCGCGGGTAATACGTACGGCCTCGTGAAAGTTTTTCACGGGTAAGTTAATATCTCGGGAACCACGGAATCTAGTAGGCTGAAGTTTTAGGGTAAGGACCCCCTGCCCACGCGCAACCTTGCCCATTCAAATTCAGTGTTCTCGCACTCTAGGGTACCACCTACGGCCTTGTGAAAGTTTTGGCGGGTAAACTATTAACTCGGGGATCACGAAAAGATATTCATCCTTTAGGGTTTCGAATTCAGCTTTCATACGCTGATGCGTGAACTGTTTTGATACTCCTTCAAGGTTTCGAAATCAGCTTTCATACGCTGGTGCGTGAAATTTTTAACTGTTTTTCAATGTTAGAACTATTTTTGCATAGACTAAAGTACAAAGCAGTGAAAATCATTAATAGGCAATCGTTCGATGGGTTATTTTTGCATAGACTAAAGTACAAAGCAGTGAAAATCATTAATGGGCAATCGTTCGATGGGCTGAATTGCACAAAACGCATGGTCGCACCGGCTAGTCTGCTGCGCGTTGCCATTTATTCCAGTTACTTTGACCAGAACTGCTTCACCTAATAATCAGCTTGCTGGTGATCCTGTTGCTATTTGCATGTTCTGAAACAGTAGAATAGAAGGATTGGTCTCAAGTGTCGTGTGTCGGGGAACATTTTACGATGTGGTCTGACGATTTTGCCAACTTGACGGCTCTTCGACAGAAGAACTTAGCAGCCTTTAAGTTGTTTCGAAATGTCCTTGATATATGTTGAGCATTACTAGCTCATCTCGAACATTCCTATTGCTCAGACCACGATGAATTAGTCATTTTTGTCTTGGATTAGCAACTTTACCAAACATACTTTGCAGGCAATAGGAAGTAAAAATTAACTTTGGGAATAT